GGCCATCATTTTTGAATACATATCAGTCCACCAAGGATTATACTTCAAAACCTGTTCAACTGCCTCATCTTCAAAAAAGTCAGCTCTGGAAAAAAAATATTGAATGGGTTTGTTATACAGAATTAGGCTGGTTTTCATTTTTTAAAAATTTTATAACATCACATTTGCACTAAAAATATAGATTAATTCAAAGTACATTTCAAGGAAGACTAATCACTGTATTTACTTTCTTTGTAATTAGTAATCATCATAAAACAAAAAGTAAGCATCTGACTAAAAGGATACTTGACACTAATGATCTCTTCAAATGGAAAGTACACAAAAGACCAGTCTTACCCTAAAGTCTCATCCCCTGTACTACAGCAGTATGTGATGAAGCATATCTGAATACGCAATGGACTGAAGCCTAGCACTTATGCTAGGTTTGCAAATACCACAGATTTTGGTAAATTCACAGTAAAGGAAATAATATATTTTAACTCCAAGAACAAAAAAATCAAACCTGAGTAGAAAATTTAGGATACTAAATATCCACACAGAGGACACACACACACACACACACACACACACACCTACATACAACACTCTGTAGCATACACATTTATATTTTCTACCAAGATGTATCTATTTTATTTAGCTGTTAATCTTAATAGTTCTTTAAAACTATTGAAAAAGATAAAAGCAAGCTTTGTAGACAAAAGAAAGTTAATTTTCCTGTACTTCACATTCTCAGTTTTAACTGGAAAAATAACTGTTATATTCAAAATATACTCTTGGAGCACACTTATTCAGAAAATATGTTATCTTGCATTCAAAGTTGGAAATTAGTATTTTTGGGAAAAGAATGACAAAAAGTATAACTCATGGTGAAAAATTCATTTATCTTTCAGTTAATTAGAAACTCAAGGAATTAGTTGTTTTTATCAATTATATTTTCTAGCTGTTAGTTTTATGACCTTAAATACTTTTTTCTTTCAACTGAGATATTGAAATCTTTTTAAAATTAGTAATTTAACAAGTTCTTCATATGTACCAAGCAATGCACTAAGTGCTTCTCATTCATTATTTTCTTGAATCCTCACACCATCCCCATGGGAAGGGGATACTCCCTGCCTATTTTACATTAATGGAAACAGAAGGTCAGTAGAGTTGTATATCATGGCCAAGGGTCAAAGAACCAGTAAAAAGTGTAGTCAGGATTAGGACCCACTTAAGTCCTACTCCAGAATCCAAGCTATTAACCAATATATACATTCCATTTTTATGACTGAGGAAATAAAGTACATGTTAGAAAAAAAACTGAATAACAATTTACTTGAAACAATAATTCTCAATATCAATATCTGTCAGGTGCACAGGCATAGGAGACTAGGACGAAGTAGTTGCTTTATAAACTAATCCTGCTAAAGATTAGCTATCTCAATAGTAAAAATTTAAAGTGATGGTCGCAAGATGGGAGGGGGGTTGTGAGGCTAGGTGAAGGGATTAAGACACACAAATTTGGCAGTTACAAAACAGTCACAGAGATGTAAAGTACAGCATAGAGAATATCATCAAAAATATTGTAATAAGTACACATGGTGTTAGGTGGACACTAGACTTATTGGGGAGGATTGCTTTAAAAGTTATATAAATGTCTAACCACTATGCTGTATGGCTGACCTAATATAATAATGTATGTCAACTGTAACTGAAAACATTTTTAAAAATAAAGTGAAGGAAAACTCTTTGAATTGAGATTCTATTAAACTTTCATCCACAAATCAGGATGTGAACTTTTTCTAGGAAATGAATTTTAAAAAGGATAAGCTATAAGAATAAATGGCTAAAATGGGAAATAAGTCAACAAAAGTACTAACTTGTGCCACGTCCCAAGCTCCATAATGGGCACTGGGATTGCACTGCTGACAAGACATAGACAGTTCTGGCCCTCACAGAACTCACAGTCTCATGGGAGAGTCAAACAATTACAATACAGCATAAGTGCTATGATAGAACAGTACAAGAGTTTATGGCAAATAAAATTGGGATGACAGGCCAAGGTCCCTGGAGGAAATAATATCTAAGCCAACAGATGAATAATAATTAACAGTTAACCAGACTAAGAGAGATAGGAGAAAATTATCTGGGCTCAAAGAAGTTAGCAAAAGCTAGGAAATAAGAAGCACATTAAAAAAAAAATTGAGAATAGAGAATTGCTGGAGTTGTGGTGACAATGACCTTGTAAGCTATATTCAAAAATATAGAGGATTTTTATCCCTAAGAACACTGAACACTTAAAAGCTCTTGCATAGGAGACTGACATCAGTGTGTTTCAAAACATCATTCTCATTGCTACCTGGAAAATGGTTTAAAGGGACCTGAAGGAACAGAAATAACGGTGGCCTAGAAGAGGCTAGTAGCAGTGGACAAGGAAAAGAGTTGATAGATTTGACATATAGTTAAAAGCTAGAATCCTTAGGATGTAGGAGTCAACAGAACCAGGAGTCAAAGTCGATGTCCAGAATTCTAGTCTCAATAACTCAGTGGACAATAGTGCCCTTTGTTAAGACAGGAACACAGGATGCTAATAGACATGACTGGAGAGATAATGACTTTTGCTTGGAACACGCTGAATTTGAGGTGTCATTTTAGAGCATACAGAGATCTGTCCAATAGGCAGTTAGACATGCAAATCTGATGCTCAAGAGTGACACGTGAGACAGTTAATGAGGCCAAAGAAGAGGCCAAAATTGCCCAGGGAAAACTGTCAGGGTGAGCGAAAAGGGCCTTGGACACTGGAGCACCAAGGACATTTAACACAAAGGTAGAAGAGCTCATCTGAAAAAATGCTGTTTTTCTCCCTACAGGAACAAATTATTTAAAAAAAAAAAAAATGACTCTGTAAAATAGCATCTCTGCCACCTCCATGCCCACCCTTCTGCCCCCCCAAAATTTTAAGAATGTTTAATTGATTATTTGGAGTAAAATCTCACTAACACAGTCCCAGTAATTAAACTGTGATGATTTTTACATTGTCCATGACTTAAGAGTTTTGTGAACAAGATCTTTCCAGAATAAATTATTTTCAAGTCTTTAAGTGCCATTAAGATCAACAAGCATTCACTGAATGCCCTCTATATGTATGCAGCAACAGGGAGATGAAGATTGGCAAAACTCACTCCCTGCTATTCAGGACTCCACAATTGAACAGGAACCACAGACACACAGAATGCTGTAAAAACAAGATGAGTTATAACACGGAGCACTGAGGAGGGCTTCCACCATCAGTCTGAGAGAGACGATGACCAGGGATGACAACTGAACCCAGTCTTAAAAGATAACTAAAAGTAATTTAGGCAGGATGGGACAGGAGAGAAAATAGGTGGTAAAGGGATACCATGAATACAAAGTGTGCGAGAAGCGGTGTGGTATAGGTCAGGAAATGCAAACATTCATTACTGCTACAGAATAAAGCAGAAGGAGAGACTAACAAAAGAGACACTAAGAGGCAAGTGGGGTCCAGATCACAGAGAACTTTCTATGTCATCATTAGGTGTTAAAAGCGTATGCTTTAAACAAAGGAGAACCCAATAAGAGTTTAAGCAGATTTTAATTTTAAGTACATGTGACATTATACTGGTGCTTTTATAGTTGATGGATTTGCAGAAGTCCAGGCAGGAGGTGAAGATGTCAATTAGGCAGTAAGGAGATTGCTGTGATAAGTCTAACAAAGGCAACAGCCAGAAATAGATGAAGTAAAGGCAATAGGAGAGAAAAACAGTACAACCTAAGGATAGACTGGAAGTATGAAATAAGAAGTCAAAGATGAATCCCAGGTTCCCAACCTGGGTGACTGGAGTGCAAAATCAGGCACTCTACCATGGAGAAATTTCAGGAAGACTTTAAAGGTAAAATGATGAGTTCAATTTGGATATGTTGAAACAGAAGAGTCAGCAAGATGCCCACTTGCTTTCTAAATCCTTAACCTGGTTTTTCTTCATAGCACTTATCACAATCAAAATACTGTGTAATTCTCCACTAAAATGTAAGCCCCCTGAGTGTAGTAACTTTATCATATTCACCACACACTCCTCATTACGGCAAAACTGTCTGGCACGTAGTTCACTCAAACAAATATTTGTTAAACAAGAAAGTGCATACAGGAAAGAATGAATACATGAAACTTTATTTAATCCTTCTTCCTAAGCTTGGTATTTTGCATAGAGAGCCACCCTGGAAGTAGGTGATCCTCTTCTCACCTCATAATTACTACTACTATTTGTCTTGCGATCTCCTCAATAAATCCAAAAGCCTGACCATCTTCTTTAACAAATTTATAGCATTGAAAATTATAGTTTAAAATGGGATCCCAAATGCTTTTTGATTATTTTTAACCCTCTTCTTATCTCACAAATATTTGAATGTTGACTAAATTCTTTTATTTTTCTACCAAAAAAGGATCTAGGCAAGATTTTATGAACTGATTGAAGTAAAGAATATGCCAACAACGAAAAAACAATTTGCGGAGATTGGATTCAACCTGGTGGAGTGAGAGACGTCCCCAGATCTCTCCCCTTGAAACAATAATAAGCTAAACATCTAAAACTCAACAAAAAACACCCAAACTGCACACCAGCACTTCTGAGCGTGAGATATGTGCATAAGAGCTACCACAGGTAAGAGCCCAGGATGTGGGGGGAGGGGGAGTGGACTGGGAGAAACAAAGAAGCTGCCTCTCACAGCCAGAGCTCCCTGTAGGAGGGCTGGGAGTAGAGAAGGTGCTGCAACTTCCCTAAACAGCGCTGCCTGGAAGTGCTCTGATTCCACGCGGCCTGCAGCAGTGCCCAGTCATCAGGCCAGAAAGCAGAGAAATGGGATGGCAGAAAAGTAGGGACAGCAGAGAAACAACAGTTGATTTTAACCAGCCACATTTGCAAAATCGAGGCTGAGCCACAGCCCCTAAACCTCAACCAAGAGGGGCACCTCACCCAATACCCCCTGAGATGATTCACAGTGGAACCCCGGGGGAATCTGAGCAAACGCTACCAAAACTATCGCTAACACTCACAAGAACTGAGACTGAGGGTAGCGAGTGTGATTAAC